CTCTATCTGTTCGTAAAGTTTCACCGCAATCGGTTCAGCCGCTCTAAAGTAAGTAAAAATTAGCCAAGACAGAACAGAAGGAATTAAAAAAGAATGGTTATTTATGTCATAACAGCATTCTAATAACTCCCTGAGCTTAATAGAAGCCAGTTATATAATATGGCAGACAAACACTTACTCTTTATTCATATTGTGTATGAATTTTAATCGGTTACTTACTAATAAAACTAAATAAAATAATACCTAATCCCTTTTAGATAAACGATCTAACATGCAACCTGATTACCTAATGTGATGTGATGTGGATTTTTTCTTATTTTATTAATAAATGATCTTATTTTATTAATAAATATTATAAATGTGTCAACAATCTTACTTATCACAGTAGGAGTTATTAAAATGAAATATTTGTGCTTGTACCACTCGATGTAAGTAGCTACACTTCGGTTAACCTTAGTACGAGTCGGTTGGTTTGGAATCACGCAGAGAAACTGAGCACAGCTCAGCACTGACCGTGTAGTGGCGGTGTAAGAATATTCACTTCCCATATTATTGGACACCGTGAGACACTATACCATAAAAATAAAATAAAAAAACAACCGGTTGCCAACCTGCATGCCAAGTGTCGCGACTAAAGAACCTGCATTGTCAATGAATGTTTATATAATTATCAAATAAAAACCAATCGTGTACCCATCTAGTCGGCACGTCAAATATTTCCTTATTTAGTAGACGTGGAAACAACGCCTATACTAGATACTAATTCAATACTAATAATACAAAGGAAAATATTTTTTGTATATCACGAAGCAACACATAATAATTAATGTATTTCATGAATTGCGCAATGAGTACGAAGAAAGTGATCAATTTACTTAGTAAGTAAATCACGACGTGACGTAGGTAATATATTATTATCGGATCATGTGATCAAAACCGTATAGTAAACACGCATACATGTGAATACGTAATGCGTTGGGGTAAGATCGGTGATGGGGCAAGACCGTAAGATTCAAATTTCCGGCGAATTATGCTATATTTTTAAATGCTAGCAATATAGTACACGACGCCTTTTTATTCTGCCCCGACCACTAACCGAGTTCCCGCCATACGCTCCGGGAAGTAGGACGTGTGCTGCGCGGCATTTTATAAAACAAGATAATTTTTGTGTTTTTTGTCCATCCGGTCTTTCCCTGTCACTTTTATTTGTGATTTTTAGCGAGAATATAGGTTCATTTGTTATTATTTTGTCTGAATACTAAGTTTTATGAAGTTATAGCCAATATATATAAAACTGATCCAAACAGGGCTAAGATCGCTATAGGCCGAGATCCGACGTTTCCCCGTGCGAGTGAAGATCGGATGAAGTTTATCCTATCTTTACCCGTTACAAATATGGTAATGATTGTTACACTTTCATTTTGTCGTGTATGTTCTTTCGAAGATTGCTCAAGTGGCTATGGGATTCAGTACCGCTATCAAATCTAATTGTGCCTTAATGAACCTAATTGAGCTTAATTTTGGAATGTTTTTATTACATTTATAATTCTTCGCATTTCGCAGCAATGTGGTGGATGAACGGCCTCTAAAATTAGAATTTTCTAAACTGTTAATATGCTGCTAAGTTACGTTTTACTGAAATATTTCGCATTACCAGCATAGCTATGCATTAACTCAAAGGCTACAAGTGATCATTACAAAACTTATTTAGAACTAATTTTCGGAACTTAATTATTACATACATATATTTTGTGAGATGCCAAAATATTTGCACTGGTTTATCCTGCGACCGTGGCTTTGACTGAATGCATAGGTACTCAGTGCCGCGGCTACATTACTTACAGTAACATAGATGCTTCGAAAATACACTAGGACTTCAACGCCGGCAACTACGTAGATACAAGAAGCCCTGGAAATTGCTATTCAAAGAATAAAATCTCGTTAGATAACGTTTATCTCATTTCATTACATATTTATCTCATTTGTCCACTTTGCTTTATTTTTCCAACTTCATGCCTATATTCTGATTCTAATTAACTCTACAAATAGGCTTACGCCTGCACATTGGCACACACACACTCAACACACACACACACACACACATACACACACACACACACACACACACACACACACGCACGCACGCACGCACGCACGCGCATGCACACGCACACGCACACATACAAACACACGCACACGCACTGGCACACGCACACGCACACATATTATTTAAAAAATCTAGATGTGTTAAATAAAATTTAATTGCCCAGTAAAAACTAAAATGCATCCGATCTTTCCCTTATTGATTAATTCCATCTTATATCATAACAAAGTTTGAGAACCAGATAATTTCAATTTCTTTATATCAGGGATAACATCGGATGCCAAGAAACAAAAAAAAAGACAATCGTTTGGAACATTTATGTTTCTAGTAAATTATATAGATCATATTGAAATATGTTGTTGAGTGTAGAGATAGCACAAAATCCTTTTATTAACGTTGTTTTATTAACTTTGCAGTAGAAGTGGCTTTCAACTTAAATCCGGTCTTACACCTTGTTGGAAAATTCTTCATCATGCATAAAAAAACCGTTGAGCTTACAAAAACAAAAGATTCTCATAGCTAAACTACATTTAACCAGCCATGTTCCAGAACTCTGACCTATACGGATTTCGAGAAAATAAAGTTTTTACCAGACTCTTTCAACTAGTCGAAAATAAGTCCGGTATTACCCCAAGGCACCGTACCTACTAGAACTGATACGCGTGCACACAATACAAGTTTTTTTACTAAACACAATCTATATAAAAATGGCTAATTAAATATTTAAGAATACATTCCGACCCTAGGGAATGATTGACGTTGTAAATTATATGAAAAAAGTGTCCCGCTGAGTTTCTTACGGTTCTTCCCAGTCCCAAGGCAAAGAGTTTTCCAAAATAGTTGTAAAACATCTAATAACTTTCAAAAGTAATACTTATAATCTATGTTGAATACCGTGTAGAGGCGGTGACAGAATATACACTCCTGTCATATCGTATCGTGGGTGTCGTAAGAGGCGACAGAGGTCATTTCAAATTGGCGGCATCTTTCTGAAAACAACACAAATAATAAAAAACTGCGGTTAACAACCCGCCTGCTAAGTGTGGTAATAACGGCAAAATGCCTCCTACGAGCCAATCTATTGGAAGCCCTGTGTGGACTTTTATAGCCTGTAAATGTAAATTGATGGAATATGTTGGATAAGATCTATTCTATTGCATTGATCTTCATTTGTCCATAATATTAAGGTGATTGTGTAAGAAAATTATTACCTTGCTTATGTCAATGTTATGACAGTTGTCATCATGTGCAACCAACAACATGGTTTTAGGTGTGTGAGTGTGTGCGTGTTTTTACTATGTATTCCAATATATACAATAAGTAACAAAAACCCTGTGGTTCCCGTTAAGTACGTTATCAGGATCATTATTCAAACGTATGGAAATAACTTTTTTTTTAAATCTTGAACAATATTTTTTTTATTTTATCAAAAAATATAATTGTATGCAAATAGTATGTGGTTTTATTACCTCTTCATTGTCTGGGAAGTAAGAGGATTGTCAAAGACCTCGCTTTACTTAGCTTTAGCATCGGCTAGTGTCAGTAAGAGGTAATAAATCCACATAAATTTTTTTTTTAATAAAATAAAAAAAATATGTTCGAGTTTAAAAAAAAGTTATTTCTATAGGTTTGAATACTGATCATGATAACGTACTTAACGGGAATCACAGGATTTTTGTTACATGATGGGAAGCAGAGTCTTCCTAATAACGATTAAAATTAAAAATTGCGGTTGCCAGCCCGCATGCCAAGTGTGGCAACTATGGCAAATATTTCCGCTATGAGGCAGTCAAGGGGGAGGTCTATGTTCAGCAGTGGACTTTTATAGGTATATAAGTACTATAAAATACTATAAAGAGTACTTCTTTAACATAACTTAGATCATGTCTTCCACATCACTTGCATTGTACGTATGTAGTGTTGTGAGAGTCACAAGACTCCTGGTTTGAGCTTGTTGCGCCCTTGTAAAGATCGAAAGTAGATAGAGGCGAAGAATTATAACTTGTGCACTTTAAACGTTGCCACAATAAAAATATAAGCGAGGAGGCGAGGAGGAACAACATCGGTCAAAGTATATTTATATATATATGAGTCACAGGGTTTATTTGACTTTTATTATAAATACCAAAGGAACCATAAAATACAGTTTGATTTGAAAACAATAGTTGTAGTGTTCGCTTTGACGATGACAAAAATATAATAGACATGGTTATTATGTCATTGCATGCATGTACATTTTTAATCATCATCATTACCATTATGGAAGATCATTATCAAGAAAGAATGCTATAAAACACTGTCTTGAGTTACCCCTGCATCCATGACTATATGTATGTTTTACAGACATTACGTAACACTTAATCAAATCATAATATTATGTAGAATTAAATTGGGATTTGGGACACACTTGTTCACCCGTATTTTTACGATCGATCATAAATATTTTAACTGCTCTAACCACTCACATGTTCATTATATAATTTTCTTCCTAGTAATATCCATAGTCATATAAATCTTAAGTCTTTGTTATATTTAGTTTTGTACAAACTATTTGATTTCATATTCATTAAATAACACTAAGCTAATAGTAGTACTTTTGCCACTTATATCTAAATTTAGTAAAACAATCTTATTTTTAAATCATCCGAAAATAACTAGTAACTTCGTAAAATAGAGTAAAGTAAACCCATCACACGCTGCGTGACTTTCATGAAGTACTTGACGCTGGCAGAAGTCATTGGTTGGCAAGTTGGCTACTACCTACTAGGACAAAAGTCACTACTGTCAAAACAGAATGACCATAGATTAATAAAGAATGACTAAAGGAAGGAACTAGTGGGATCCCAGTTGCGTAGCTTGGTGGTGGTAGAGGCGACCGTCAGTTAGTGGTGCGACGATGTGGCGGCGAGCTGTGTGGCATGCGGCCATTTTGCTCCTCGTCTCCGGCAGCCAGGACGCGAGGTACTACACGCAGAAGCGACCCTATACGTCCACCCCTCAGGTAATGCTTTGACCTTAACGATCTGCGAATATATTTGCGAAAGTTTTTTGATATTGTGTTTTGCACATATATGCACATAGCTTGCACGCATCAAGTAATTTTGGACTAAATTATACTTTATTTATCGAAATTTGAAAGTTTTAAATGGAAATCATTGCCCTTAATAATTGTAGAAATTGTAAGTTACAACTACTGATGCACAATTGTGAGTAGCCCGCCAATTATGCGAGCGACCCGCCCGGCTTCGTCTGGATCTATTATTATTAATTTTCTACTATTATTAAATTGGCGTTATTAAGATTTATTAAAATAAACAAAGATCATTTATTTTATCAATTTATCGATGTCTCGAAAAACTTCTCCAAATTTTTAGTATAATATATAGCCTAGATCACAACAATTTACAATTATTTACAATTTAATTAAATATGAATATGTTGATATTTAATGATAGTGGGTTATTATTGCCACCAATTTTTCATATGTAATTTAAATAATTTAAATAGTTAGATTATTTAAATTGTCGTTAGCATCGTTTATTCGAAGAATATTGAAATTATTTACAATCTCGCATAAGTGTTTTCGCTAGCTATGTCTTCTACCCGATTTCAATAATGGCAACAACTAACGAACAGCGTTGCCATCTGTCAAATTCGCTGCAGATATTGCCGTGCAAGTGTACACATAGCGGCACGAGTCATGAGCACAACCTTGTCCTGCGCCCTGCGTGGGACGGGATCGGTGAGTCAAGTCCTCAACTTGCGAGTGTTCTCCTATGAAGTCGTAAAAGCCGCAGGGCCAACAACATACACTTTAAAAAAAAATTTACTTAGATACAAACTGGTAGTGATAAAAATGTAATTAATTAATTACAAATTCTAAAGTAAATTTTTACCGTTAGAATATTTGAAATAGTTTAGCTCATATAACTTGCGTGCGTCGACTGCGTTTACAAAATGCAATGATATTTGAGTGTCTGGTGAAAATCACTTAAGAGAGAATTCGAATCGTGAGTAAAAATAAATAGATCGTAAATTTATACGTGGTAGAGCCACACTGCAGCTATATTATGATTGTGGCACGAATGGGTCGGCTTAACCGGGAAAGGACCACTTTCTCACAGAATACCTACGTGTAATAGCAGCTTAACGCTGCTGTGTTTCGTATGGTGAGTGTAGAGAACCGGAGACGATTTTTACTGGAAACGAGGCATTCCATAGTATTCCTCGGGGGTGACAATGATCCACGACTTTTTCTGCCAACAGAGCGGCGCTACTTAAAAGTGATGTATAATATTTGACGGATTTCATAGCGGAGAAGTTAATTTGTTCGGAAAATGTAAAGGTTAATGTTTCTTTCTATTAGCTATATTGTGTATTAGTAAGATTAAAAATGAATAAACCTCACAGATATTCTCAAAAGTAGAAAAATTAAAAAAGTTAAATATTTGCAAAAAAAATAAAGAGCAAACTACTGAGGCATTGTGTTCTATATTAATGTAATACTCTAGAAAGTGATAAACTTTTATTAAAAACTAACTTCTCAAGCAAATGAAATTGTGTACAAAAACCTTACCTCAGTGTCAACTAGCGACATCTGGTGAGCAGAAAATTACTAGCCCTCATTAACGCATCCGCATTTTGATTCTTTATCGAGGATGGGTGTAGATTGTCGGTGGGTCACAGCATCCATATAGGGTCTTTGCGGCGGTTTTCGGCCTTTTAGTGGAGTTGTCAACTTGAAGGCACTAGAAAAAATAATTTCCATTATGATGACCGAGTGCTGTTAATGTTACTCGTAATTTGTTGCTTACATAATGTAGTTTTCATTTTTATAACTCATTGATGCTACAAGAAAAAGCTCTTTTTTATAATAATTTTTGATGTGAAAAATATGTAAAATTCTAGTTTCCGGCCTCATAATTTTAAATTTCGGTCTACAAGAATTTTTGATTTCGGCCTACAAGAATTTTAGTTTTCGGCCACTGCATGAGGCAGGATAGGAAAGGTGGTTACTTTAAGCTTAACTTATTTATTATCTTTATTACCTTAACTTTATGTTTTCGTAAAATTATAATAAAATGTCGTATCGTTAAATATGGCGATCAAAAATGTTCTTATTTATTTTGTACTTCCTCATATTTTAGTCCAACAAAATCTATATTCTATACATCTCAAGTCCATTTGGTGCAAAAGTCAACTAAAATATTTATTTTTAAAAATATTTATTAATATTTATTTGTATTTCTTATTAAATAAAACAAATAATTGCAATTTATTCTTACCCTTAAATACCCGAATTTTCGATATTTTGTTTTTGAACTTTAGCAATCATTAACTTTTTTCCTATTCTTTTCTTTTTCAAATTATATTACATTTTTTAAACTTAGTTCTAACTTAGTGGCCGTGGTAGCTCAGACGGTTAGCGTTCGCTGTAAATTTCACAGTACGCGAGCAACCCGGGTTCGATCCCCGCCAGCACCAATGAAATTGTTAATTGCAATTTTAAGTGCTGATTTACCACGTGCTCGGCGGTGAAAGAAAACATCGCAAGGAAACCTGCATGTCTGCTTCGCCAACACGCATTGGGGCAGCGCAACGCAGGAATTTGGACATTTCCTTGCCCTAAATCCCCCTCAAAGATGAGGGAAGGCCTGTGCCCAGCATTGGGACGTATATACGCTGTGACTTTAACTTTAACTTTTAGTTCTATCTTCTCTATTTTAACTTTCTTTTTATCGTCATAAAAATGTCGCCACTCTGCAGATCAAAATGCCACAGAAGAATGTGTACGTGTACTGTTAATAGTTGATTTGTTGAGTTCCGGTTTAAATAAACATTTCTTTATTTAATAGTACTGAAGCCGATGTTTCACTAGTTTGTAGAGATGTACTAGTCTGTTTTATTGGAATATCAACCAGCATATTTTGTAAAGTTTAAAGGTGTTTGTTTGTGGTGGTGGTATCATCGAGGCCATTTTATTACTTTGAGTCGTTATTATTGCATTACTGGAATCTATTACAACATTTATTTCAGGCGTTGTCTGTACTGTTGTTGTAAGGCTTATTTGAGTTGGGATCAACAAGATCATCATCTAACGATACTAAGGAACCGATATCGATTAACGATTTTGATGCTTCGGTAGATGAATCCATAGTTACCAGAACATCGCCACCTATGTTTTTTTTCTGCCAGAGTTGATTTTAAATGTCGCAAAACTTTTCTTGTTTAAACTAGCTCTGCGTTGGTTATTTCTTTAGAAATATTTTTTCCGGTGTCTTGAAATTTTCACTGATTAGTCTTTCCGGGGTATTCTGGACACATTTTGAGTAATCCACTGCATTGGGATCAAATGAATAAAGTCCACATTTTCTGAAGCCCAATTATATTTTTTTGAAGTAGCCATCTGAAAACAATGTCTTCTTGAATCTTCTTCATAAAACGCAACGTGAATGAAATATTTCATGAAATGGCCGTCAATCAAAGCAGCATTGAATTTTCAGCTTCCCTATTCTTTCATACAATTTTAAGGTTGCCGAAAACTAAATAATAATTTAAGGCTCAACCCAGTTTTCGGCCACAACATAAATGGGTATTTTAGCTTTATCACTAACCGTTCAAATTGCGGTACTTGTTAGCCGAAAACTGAAAGCTAGTATCTTCACCTTCAGTTTTTGAATATTAGCCGGGCTAACTATGACATCGAGACGTCAAACACCTCAGTCCCCCCCGTGACTATGGGTGCTGTAAAGCACCCAAAACGTCGGGAATTAAAAAGTTCAATTAAACGCGATAAAATCCGTAAAAATTAGTTTCATTTAATGTGTCGTCTTCGCGTAAATATAAGAAATCATATTTTGTTAAGCATAAAAAGAACTATATTGTCGTATTAGGTAATCTCTGTAATGAAGTTGTAAGTTTCAATAAAATAACATAAATAAATAATAATAAACGAGTCACTACATGTCCTTTTTAGTAAAACAAATAACAGAACACATAACCGTTAGTTAAAAATAAAAGAAATATGCTCTGTTGCAGTGTTCTTTATTTAAATTGCGTGCTTACATGCGCTCATAATATACCTGTCTGCAAGTGAAGTTTCCTTTAACTACTTAATTAAAAAGTGATGATTTATAAACGCAGGCAGTATTTTACATTCAATCGAATGTCTTTGTAGTGTGGGTTGCGTTAGTTTCGCACGCAAATCAGATCAATTGCATACCGCTATTAATGTAAATATCAGCGGTCTCATTACGATTTACTTTGAGACTGTTCGTGACGGCTTAGTTGTAGTGATAACTGTTTTCAAGAATTCTAGTAGTGCTGTTTACACTACTAATATTTATTAATCCAGTTGAGCTTAAAATCACTACTGCAGTCGAAAGCTGGATACAAACCCGTGTTCTTTAAATTTTGTAGGCAGCACTCTTAACCATTCGGCTTATTTACTTCGTTATTTTTTTTCAAACGCGGAATATTTGCTTTTTATTCATTCATTCATTACAGCCCTTCACAAGTCCACTGCTGAACATAGGCCTCCCCCAAAGAATGCCACAAAGCACGGTCCTGAGCCACCTGCATCCATCGACTTCCTGCATGTCTTACCAGGTCGTCACTCCATCTCGTGGGGGGACGCCCTACACTTCGCCTACCGGTACGAGGCTGCCACTCGAGAACCTTTCTTCACCATCGGTTGTCGGTTCTTCGAGCTATATGGCCGGCCCACTGCCACTTCAGCTTACTAATTCGTTGGGCTATGTCGGTTATTCTGGTTCTACTGCGGATATCCTCATTCCTTAGTTTATCACGCAGAGAAACTCCGAGCATAGCCCTCTCCATAGCTCACTGAGCGACCTTGAGCTTCCTCATACGGCCAGCAGTGAAGGACCACGTCTCAGTTCCGTAAGTCATCACTGGCAACACGCACTGGTTGTACAATTTCGTTTTAAGGTTTTGAGGTATGTCTGACGAGAAGATGTGTCGTAGCTTCCCGAACGCTGCCCAGCCGAGTTGAATCCGTCGAATATTTGCTTTTTATAGTCTCAAGTATATCATATAATTTTATATGTAATTAATACGCATATAATTTTTACCAGACTGCCCCAGAAAGAGGTTAATGTTTTTCTAGTATATCGATGTATGTCTATTTCTTTGGCACGCTCTGTAGCCTAAATGGCTTCATAGATCTTAACACATAGGGATGTCGTTAGAATCGTCTTAGTTGTAGAAGTAACATAATATTCCTTAATACTCACTTACTATACTTCAGTAAAAACTTGTACGCAGTCGGATTTTTTTAAATTAGTGTTTTAACTTTTGATTTACGTTGATTAACGTTTGACCAAGATCGCCTGAAACACGTAAGAAGTAAGAACATGATTTGTAGCGGTCTTTAACTCGTTGGAAACGCAGAGGTTTGCCAGATTGTATAGGGTGAAATATGTATTTAAAGTAGAAATAAAAGCTTTTCAATGGTACATTGAAGATGCATCTTTTGGAAACTAGGACTATTTGATAATTTTAGTTTTAATTATTTTTATTCTTTTTTAGACAGTTTTAATTAGTTGCGTACACAAGCATATCTTGATATTTGTTTTGTGAATGCACGCTTAGTTATTGTCTAAAGAAACGGAACGGTTAAGACTTACTCTAAATGATTTAGTATCATTACGTAAAAAAACGAACATTGTTTTCAAAGATAACTATATGCATTTCTTTTTATAGGATAGGATGACAAACTATGGTAAGTGGTTGCTGTGGCCCATAGACATCTACATCTATCCTCGTTTGCGAATCAATATACAGATGCGTTGTCACCCATGAGGACTAAGATGGAATGCCTCGTTTCCAGTAAAAAGGGTCTCCGGTTCTCTACACTTACCATACGAAGCACAGCAGTGTTAAGCTGCTATTTGACGCTGGTATTCTGTGAGAGCGTGGTCCTTCCCCGGTCGAGCCGACCCATTCGTGCTACAACTATACTACTAATATAGCCGCAGCATGACTCTACCACGTATAAATGATAAATGCTAATTATGATTTCATTTCTGTAGAACGAAATGATCAACTCGCTTTATTACTACGTTTATATTAACTCGCTGTACTCATCGAATTTAGTAATTGATTTTAGATTAAGTTACTGATCATCTAGAGACTTGAAACTTTGAACATACCTCAGAATCTAATAGCAGTGTAAGAATATGTATAATGTGATGAAAATAAAACAAATATATTTTTATACTTGTTAGTGCATTTTAAAAACTTACTATATTAATTTTTTTTATATATGTTTTAATACTACGTTACGTCAGATCACAAATTAATTAAGCCAGGTGAAGTGCAAAGCGAATTGTATTCCGGCGCGTGCGAATTCATTGGTGCGTGAGCGTAGTTATGCCCCGCGAGCGATGCCGTCACAAGCTATCATTGCTTTTCATAAATACTTTTACTTTCTTTAACACTACAAAATGTAAAAACCAATTAAATTAATAAAAGCTAAAATATTCATCCTTATATTGTACCAGCTGGTACCCGGCGCGTTGCTGCTTCAGTAGAAACAATTGTGGCAATATCGTTTTAAATTTGGAAGACTTATATTGTTTAATAACTATTTTTTTTTAAATTGTCGGAATGGGCAAAGAGAATATAACCACTACGTTCGGTACGGGTACGATATGCGCGCCATCTACTGAAAGTTAATTGTACTGTGCCTATAACCTTCGCGCAAGTGCAAGCAAGAAGTCGACAAAGTTTTACCGCAATCTGATGAATGGTATTGCAGCGCAAAATATACGAATATACAAACATTATTTTTTATATATTAGATACATATATAACTTTTAAATACTCGTATGAATTTACAACATTTTTATCTCTTACTTTCCCACCCTCATACTAATACTATACTACACCTCAGGCTATACTTCATTCCCGAATTGTTATAGCCTATTTAATAAAAAATATTCTATTTATTAAAAAATATTGTTTTAAATCGGTTCTTAATTGATGAATATACCATGTACTAAGATACAAATATACAGTTGGAATTTTTGTATGTTAGGACACGCTATATTCGATTCACAGCGAACCTCCTACTTTTTGATGATGCCAACAAAATAACATTTAATTATAAATTGTAATAACATTCATAATACACGAAAATAACATTCAGTTGTCTCATTTAATTTCAGGTCGAGTGCTTTGATTACATGGAATGGGGTCCGGACAGATACAACCGCGGGGTGGCCGGTGGTAAGTTGTGATGTGTGATCATCTACGTTAACTGATGAAAATCCCTTTGCACCACAGAGAAATTACTTCTAATTACCATGTTTAAACACCAGCCTGTACAGTGCATTAATATTGACTGGTAGAAACTTGATAGGCCGGGCTAAGTGGCGCATATTGGGAGAGGTCTATATCTAGCAGTGGACTGCCACAGGCTGATGATGATGTAGAATATTACTTGAATAATAATACTCGAAAGATCATCATCGTCGTGCATATAAAACTATATTATTTCTTTAGAAGTTAGAAAACTTTAGAAAAAAAAATATTCCTTTAGAATTTGCTTGACATATGCTTAGCCCAATATTGTGGTTTAATATGTATTAACTAAATTTTCCAAGTCTGGGCAGTGTGCATATTTGTCGCGCAAACTGTTGAAACTAAATAAGAACACGTTTAAAAAAGTACGGATAGTTTCACTATTGAAAAGGACTAATACCAAAAAATCCCCGTTAAAACCATCCACCACAAACCATCTCGTTTACTCCAGACGTGAGAGAGATCGGGGAGTGTGTGCAGGATTTGCATAATTAATTCCTCCCACTGCCTTCCACTAAGACAATCATACGCTCGGCCAGAACCCCCTCCTTTCGTTGTCGACTCACCACGCATTCGAATAAATGGTTTGCTATAAGTTGCATGTTGGTGCAAACAATAAGTTGACAAAGTTTTACCGTAATCTGATAAACGGTATGGCAGCGCATAAAATACGAACGAACAAAAATTAATTTTTATATAATAAGGTAGTTAATATTTAAGAAAGAAACATTGGTCTCTTTCTAACAAATTAACTTCAAAGTGAAACGCAACATTGCTTATCTTGATGCGATTTAGGTGTAGGTTAGTCTCTTCGCAATACGACTTTCCTTGCTTGTACTAGAAGAATCTCCACAATAGACAGAATTACGAATCTGATTATACACGAAGAATGACTGATCCCAGCTAGTCCACTGTGCCGTACTTTATACCATTCGAAAAGTGGGGGTTTCGAGATCTACCTTCACTTCAGTTTTTTTTTATAGGATATATTTTTTAATAAATACAAACGTGCACACAGTCCACCTGATTGCACGTTGGTGCGGCCCGTAGACATCTACATCTATCCTCGTTTGCGAATCCAAATGCAGATGCGTTGCCACCCGTGAGGACTAAGATGGAATGCCTCATTTCCAGTAAAAAGGGCCTCCGGCCACCTGCACTCACCAAGCGAAACGCAGAGGTAAACCTCTACTTCACGCTAGTTTTCTGTGAGGTCGTGGTACCACCCCGGTTCGAGCCGGCCCATCCGTGCGACAGCAAAAACTGCCGCGTGGCTCTACCACTGTTAGAAACGTTATTTATTTTTATTTGCTACCTTCTATTTCCGACTTATAAAGTACACAGTTCTAACTATTTATTCTCGTTTATACAGGTTTGGTACAGCACAGCAGGTCGCCTGGTATGCTATTTGACAGTACAACATACCCATCACCGTCGTTTGTGAGACATCAGTCGTTTTCCCGGCGGGTGGACTTGTTGCCTGCAGAAGTCGAGGACGTGGTGAAGGAACACGCGAAGTTAGTTCAGGATATTAACAGCATGAAGCAACCACTGTTTGTGGCGCCAATGGTAGATGGAAGTAAGGACTACGATGAGTCTATTTATCTGGAGGCTATAGAAACAACTACAACTTCGAAGCCGACCACCACCTCGACGATATTCCCAACCAGATCAAAGAAACCAGGTTCCTCTGTTCCTGTTATCCTCCTGGGTGGAGCGAGTCAACGTATTGTGATCAAAAGCCCACCACTTAATTATGTAAGACCTACCACCAGTCTCGTGGGGACGTCAGAATCTCCGTTGATAAAGCATCCGTACCCATTTGTCGGGCATCCCAATTCACCGCTCCCTGTCCGTATTTGTATGCCGACAATGCATCAGCACTCATCCGTATATACCAAACCCAAGAGTAGTCTGCTGGAAAAAATACTCAACGGGATCATATCTAGGTAGTAAGGGTTGACTCTATCTCTCTGCATTTATTCCATCTGCGATAATTATTTTTGTTTCTGTGTAAGCGATGATCTTTATAGCTTGTTGTGTTAATATTTTTGTAATGTGATCTGAGTTTTCATTCCGCTTTGTGTCACAATATAATGAAGGTAATAAGAGGAAATGTGGGCAGAGAGACTTTTGAAAATTAGGCATTTGAAATAAATTATCGCTGTCGCTTTGCTAGCGCTCGGCGTTCGATAAGTACAACTGCAGATCCGACTGAATAGCCTAAGTAAAAAGGCATAATTCGAAGTTTGGCTCTACCATTTCCTCCTCTAATATTGGACCTAGAATGATATGCACTGTGTCTACGTTTCTTGTGTTTCTTTTATCTGTATTAGTTATTAAATTTGAACAATGGGTCTTGACAGCGGTCTATATAGGCAATTTTGAGCTTTATAGTGCATATAAAGATAATCTATCATCAAAAAACAAAACATAGGGACATAGAAGAGGTTGATGTTTATTTAAACGTGAAAATTCATCGCTATAAGGTCATAAACCAGAAAGAAAACAGGCTAGAGTGTTTGTATGGAGAAAAGACTACCCGTATTTCCTCTTAATATTGTTACACTTTCAAAAAGCATTTATATTTAATACTTTTAAAAGAACGTTTCACTGGAAACCTTGAAAAAACTCTTTTTATTGGAAACAAGGCATTCCATCTTAGTCGTCAAGGGTAATTTCGTATCTGTATTTTGATTCTTAATCGTTGTCTATGGGCCACGGCATCCTCTTACCATCAGGTGGACAGTATCGTTTAACACCCTAATTCTATAAAAAAAATCTTAAATGATTTTGTCAACAAAAAGAGCTTTGTCTTTTTAAGTAGCGTTTACGTACGGAGGGTATAGTTTTATTATCTGAATGTCTCCTGACGGTCGAACATCTCAATCCGTCCAAAGTTCAGACGTTATACATACGCGGTAGAGCCATGCTGCAGCTACATTTCTGGTATAGTTGTAGCACGAACGGGTCGGCTCGACCGGGGAAGGACCACGCTCTCACAGAATATCAGCGTAAAATAGCAGCTTTATGCAGCTGTGTTTCGTATGGTGAGTGTAGAGAACCGGTGACCCTTTTTACTGGAAACGAGGTATTCCATCTTAGTCCTCACGGGTGACAACGCATCTGCATTTTGATTTGTAATCGAGGATAGATGTAGATGTTTATGGGCCACAGTAACCACTTACCATCAGGTGGACTGTGTGCTCATTTGTCACCCTTATCCTATAAAAAAATAGTTATTTAATGGAATTGGCTTGAATTGACGTCACTGCATTAACCAGCACACAGTCCACCTGATGGTAAGTGGATGCTGTGGCCCATGACATATGCATTTGTCTTCGATTAAGAATTGAAATTCAGGTCATGTCACCCTGAGGAATAAGACGGAATGCCTTGTTTTAAGTAAAAAGAAAACATAGTAGCATTAAGCTGTCATTTCAAGCTAGTATTCTGTGAGAGCGTGGTCCTACTCCGGTCGAGCCGAACCATTCGTGCTCCACTATAATACAGTTGCAGCGTGACTCTACCACATAAAATTGTGTGTGCCCGCTCGCGTGTAACTTCATTCATCGTATTGTCTAACTTTTCACGAGCCAGTGCGTCGGAATGGAAAAGTTGAACGTCTTATGTGTTATGACGGAATGTTTGTTCAACGCGCCGATATTACTTGCCTGTCGACTCGGATGACGGCGAATTCTCTCACGTTATGTCGGAGCCTTGCGTTTCGCTTCGACTCACTCGTTTCAATATTAAAATAAATAAGTTAATTTTTTTGTGTTGTTTCCTTTTAATCTTAAGTTGTAGCGAAAAATATAATTAACATGCTTGATTTTTCATAATTCGCATGGGTACCCCGATCAACAGAGAAAGATATATAATAATAATGTCTGCCAGATCGAATTTCGTTCACGGCGACTAGTTTCATTGGAGACTAGCCATCGGCGCAGGTCAGGATTATAATATATATAGTGCTCAAGTGTATGCGTAAGCACATGTGCACTCTGTATTCCCTCACTCTCATAGTACAATGTGATGGTAAGCCGACACGACCGGAGAGAAATCAGGTTCCACTCAGGGTGGAACAATATCAACTTCTTAGCTCCAGACCGTTACTGAGAATTTCTTGACAAAAAAGCACAATAACTGATTTTAGGCCCGACCCGAGCTTCGAACCCAATTCGACCAACGAGGCAGTCAGAGCAGAGGCAAGATATACAGAACACTAACTACATCAAAACGATACTCAACTTCTTGACACTCACGTTTTCTTTCTTTTTTTTAACAGCCGTTAATAGTCCGCTATTGGATGCACACATGTAAACCTAAAACTGTGTTGATTGCAAATTATTTTAGATGCATATATGTGTGCGTGATGTTACAATATTTCCGCATACAAACGGCGGTGCTTGTATTACTGTATTACGGTCTGTAGACTATAGAGAGCTCCTCGGTGTAGTAATCGGTGTACTTACATGAAAAAATGATTCCGGAGAATTGTAAACCTCCTTCTTTTTGAAGTCGGTTGAAAATACTAATAAGTCATTGACGGCAACGGCCGTGAAGTGAATGCACGCTGAAGTTCCAAACCCCCTCTCCCCTTTACCCCGCACCGCGGTACGTTGTCGGTGAAAGTGCATTTCTTGCAATTTGTTGTAAATATTATTTACCTATATCATACTTATACCACCAAATATTCAAACATGTCGTTAAATCTCGTGCTGTCTCTATTACTTTAAGTCAAAGTGACTGAGACACCACGAGACTTAACGACATCTTAAAATTGAGTAGCATTTTTTTATTGAATAAGGGTGACAAACGAGCACACAGTCCACCTGATGGTAAGTGGTTGTTGTGGCACATAGACATCTACATCTATCTTCGTTTGCAAATTAAAATGCAGATGCGTTGTCAGCCGTGGGGACTAAGATAGAATGCCTCTTCTCCAGTAAAAAGGGTCTCCGGTTCTCTACACTCATCATACGAAACACAGCAGTATTAAGCTGCTCTTTTACGCTGGTATTCTGTGAGAGCGTGGTCCTTCCCCGGTCGAGCCAACCAATTCGTAATTATATTATTAACTAGCTTTTTACCCGCGGCTTCGTTCGCGTGCGCTTGAATTTAGGGACATAATTAAATGCAGTTCCGTGCCAAATATAGAAATATTCGATCACTTTTAGAGTCACCTTGGTATCTATGTCTCTATGTTTGTCAGAGATTTTTTTCATTCTAAAATACTATTAGACGTAGATTATTGGTAACATGCTACAGAAATACGTGAATATATATGTCTAGAAACACCTACTATTTTTTATATATGGCATGTCTTCCGATTCCGACATAAGAAAGGTAAATAGTCTTGAAATCAAAATGTATTATTATTATTATTTACATTGTACTCTTTACATTTATTCGTAGTTAAAGTAGCTTTAACCACGTACCTAATATAATGTTTATTTGAGACATTTTATTCATATCATTGGTCCTATTTAATATTGATTGGCACCATAAAAATATATAAGGTACGTGAGGGTAATATGGTCACCTTAAGTTTTGCCCTCTTGCCCTAAACCCTCTCAGAAATGAGAGGAGGCCTGTGCCCAGCAGTGTGACGTAAATAGGCTGCAATTTTTAAGCTTTGCCGCCTTATAAAACCAAAACCAGGAGGAGGAGAGAGACAAATACACAATGTCGTATACTAACTAACTAACTAACTAATATAGAAAAAAATAACAATAAGCTTTGGCAATAATTAGCAACACTTCGAAAAATCAACTTAAAAAAAAACTAACTGTAGTACGTGAGGGTAATATGGTCATGCGGTTAATATGGTCACTTTCTTAGAACCCAAAAACTACAGCGTCGTTTGCATACTCGTAGAACGCTCTGTGATACGATATCTCTTGTTCAGTTTGTCAAACAATAAAGGGTCAAAAAGCCGCTACTTTATCGACGCTATTTTGATAGTTGATATTATTGTAAATATTTTAGTCGATTTTTGTATTGTGTAGTGCAGGTAGTTTTTTTAAATAGATTTTTCGAAGTGTTCCTAATTATGTTTAAAGCTTGTTTGCTATTTTTTTCTTAACATATTAGTTATAGTATACGATTTTGAGTTTTTGTCTCTGTTCTCCTCCTAATTTTGGTTTTATGGGGCGATAAAGCGATAAGGTAACCTTACTACCCTCACGTACTTACTATAATATCAACTGTCAAAATGGCGTCGATAAAGCGGCGGCCTTTTGACCCCTTATTATTTGATTGACTGATGAAAAGCTATCGTATCGCAAAGCCATCTATGCAAATTAGGCTGTAGTTTTTGAGTTATAAGAAAGTGACCAATTAACCGAATGACCATATTACCCTCACGTACTCTAGATATTTTTTTTTACTTCGAGTAGACTTGAAAATTTCATAAATACAGTACTATAATAATGAATACTCGTACCACACATGGATTAAAACTAATGTTACGGGTTTTTTACGCATCTTGGCTCCTCACCGAATGAAAGCACCGAAGCTCCGGGAAGTCTAAAGTATGTAAACATGTTTAGTATCGTCCCAACCATTATATACAACAAATCCTTGCAATAGAACACCGAATCCTACCAATCACGATTCGCGAGGCTATTGAAATTAAAAATATCCAAATTTTAATAGGGAAGATCGCTGAGTGCTACTATCTGCTAAGGACTCCATAATTAATAAAATTAAATTCAAACTACTACTGCATTTTTACTATTCTATTTTAACTATGACATCAAGTCGTCAAACACCTCAGTTCTCCCGCCCCTGCCGTGACCATGGGTGCTGTAAAGTGCCCAAACGATCGGGAATTTAAACAGTTAAAATTAAACGCGATAAAATCCTTAAGATTAGTTTTAGTCCTCATAAATTTTATACACAGTGAACGTGAGGAACACTACACTCATGAACGGGAGTAGAAAAATGTT